TAAACACATCGAAAAGCGATTTAGGGGCTTTTCTGCATGTACGAGTATCTCGTAGAATTATGCTACTCTAGCAGCCCACTAGGCAGTTTTGCGGGTGTGCCTCGGAACATAGTTTTTCAAGACGTAGGGCACTTTACATGATGTATATACAAAAAATCGTAATTTTCCAAAATCGAGTTGGGACCAGGATATTTTCCGATAAATCGTTGCTATTTATCATATTCTAATGAGCCACCAAGCGGCTTACCTCAATGAAGTCCGGAAGGCAAGTAGTACATATTTTCAAGATCCAACATTATGATATCTGTACACTGGGCACCTACTGTATTGTCAATAAGATAAAGGGAAAATTGCAGATGCTCTAAAAATTTAAATACCCCACATAATTAAAACGAGCCGAGGCTTGCTTATTACCTTATGTGATGGCCGAAAATATATTGAAGAGCAATACGTTTTCGACCTTCCCCCCACCCCCAAAAAACTTGCTTCTCCCGAAGACTCATTATACCCATGATCATAGATCCTCTTACTCTATCCACCATCAGCGATAACAGTAATATATGCCATCTGGCATAACATGACCTTTCTCAATTGCAACTTACTTCTCTTCTTTCCAGTAGCTTTCATATCGTCCGCAAGAAATAAATTATTCCCATACCTTGATGGAAATGCAAATATTTGATGGGTTATGCAGAATGGGTAGATGTTATGAAGGGTTTATGTAGTCCTCCCATTGCCTATACGATTTGAGCTGAACGACGTTTCGTTTGGAATAATATCTATAGTCAAGTGAAAATTATTTGTTCTTTAGCTGTAGCTTTCATTTGAGTTATCGGGTAAACGTTTTAGTTAACATATTTCTAGTTAGGTTTACGGATCGATAACCATGATTAGCCTTCATAACGACAAAATAAACAATCAAATGTTTTTATGGTCAAATTGCCAACTTGGAGACTTTGTACCTTTGTAGCTACTATGATCAATTTCCGAGAATATTAGCCAATTCGGGAACACTTTTTGTTATTACGAAGGCTCAAAGTCTCCCACGCAGGTTTTGGAATCACCCAGGAAGCCTGGCAAACGTTCTTGGCTTTTTTTATTTTCAAATTTATTTCCTAAATGATATGTTGTTCACTTTACGCCAAAATAAAAAAAAACTAAAAAACAATACGTGAAAAGTACAGAGAATGAGAATACTTATCTCCTTAGGCAAATAATATAAAAATGTTTACAGTTGTCAGGACTAATCATGAAGTTGGGATGCGGGTAGCTATCAATTAGCTAAAGTAAAGTTCCCCTCACGGACTGAACCTTTGATTAAAGTGGCATATAAAAATGTTGACATACATCTATGAAAGTATCATATGAAATAATACATATTCTATTTTTTATAACTTCTTTTTGTTCTCCATGAGCTATTGTATATACCACATACCTTCCTGACATTCTCATTTCTGTCCGAAAAGGTCGAGTGGTCATAGAGGGAACATCTAAAATTGCCATAAATTCCCCATATTGACGGCGACCTATGCCATTTGGTATGCTCCCCCAAACTGCTGCAGAATTGACGGTTTTTTTCGTATTATTGTTTGGCTCTGATTATATAACCACAGCTTTCTTACAATTTTTACAAAAAAATGTAACTTTATGACATTACCTCTGTTTGTTTCTTTCACGAAGTCCATCCTATCCATTGTACATTCCGTCCAATGATTGCATACTTTTCGTTACTACGGCAAAATATGGCCCAAATTAACAATCCCCCTGCCATCGATTCTGTCAGCAATGCTTAGGTGATTTTGGTCCCTCACTGATTCAAAAGCATAATCCTTATCGTAAGATACTCTATTAAACGAGGATTTGCCGACATAACTTTTGACACCAACGGAACAAGCCTCAGATAATTAATTGCTGTTGTCAACAAAAGGCTATGCGCATAGTTCATCAACTTCATTTCTTTACAACAACCTGGATAAAAAAGCAAGACCTAGAGATCCAAGCCTGAAAGCAAGGCTGGAGACGAGCTAAAACATATGACTTTTTTTAACCAAACTGGGAAAATGGGAACTTCTATGGAAAATGTTTGATCCAAACCTTTGTGTGACAATAGCGCAGGCTTTTGGCCTAGCATACATCGACTAACTCAATTTCAAAGCTTCAAAGAGGCATTGTGCCCCAGCTTGAAAAAACAAAAAATTTCATATAAACTATACTACCAACTGTTACAGTCAATTACAGTCAATACTCGAATTATATACAACGGACCTCAAAGAAACAGTTACCTTGCTGGCCTTTTTTGTTCTTTACGCTTACGCCGTTTTGGTAATGCTGCACGACTTTTAGGCATTTTTAATAAGAACAAAGACTTCGAACAGTAGCGAACAGAATGAATATGCTGAAACGTGGCATCACGGCGAAGAGAGACGCATAGTCACCTCGGATTACGGCCGATCATCCGCCGCGGTCGATGTGGTCAGCGAAATTCGGGTTTTTTCCAAAATTTGCACCAAATAGCAATGACAGCTCGAAAACCGTATGAGCAAAAAAGTTGTTTTTTTGAGCAATGGTTTGTACAGCTCTTTTTATAGGTCTTGAGTAAGTTTATTTTTGAAAACTTAGTTTGCTTTTTCGGAAAAAACAAGTTTAAAAAAAATGTCAAGAAAAATAGTAATGTCTCAAGGTAATCTACTATAAATGTGGAATATTGTCATACAATTTTAGAGCTATACTGTTATTCGTTCACAAACTACGATTGCCGAGAAAATGAACAAATCATGCATTTTTTTGATGACAAAAATTGCTCATATTGCATACTAATCATCTCTTTATACAGCATGAGGATATCAGACGTAAATAATTGAAAATACTCCTTCAAACAGGCTGTTGAATAAAAGGGACCCATGGCTTTAAGTGATGAGTCCTGATTTTGTTTGGGAATATATGATCGCAGTGCAAGCGTCACAAGGTGACGAGGTGAAAGACGAAATTCTCAATTTTCTATGGAAAAGCATGTGCGTCACACTCTTGGAATTATGGTATCGGGTGCTATTGCTTATAGGAGCACTCACTTCTGGTGTTCATCAGAGGCAACACGGTCCATTTTCAAGACAATTCCATCAGAAGCACCTACTCCTGAGCTATTTCTCATCTCTGACGGTCATCACCAACCACTTCGCACATATCGTCGTATGACAGATACAAAAATGGCAGAAATAATAAGTATAATGTTCATAGTATAATCTGTCGACCTATCTAAGCTAGTGGCATGACAATCCGGCTTATCTATCTATCCGTACTGAAGCGCAAAAAATCATATACACGGACCTTGCACGAAACGCACAGACAACGTTGCCACATGGACGGAAACTAAGAGAAGGGAGGGAAATAATGTATTTGGATCAATTGTATGGACCTGTTTGACTGACTTAATACATGTAATATCTATGTTGAACATGTCAATAACTGACCTTTTTTCTTAGAGGAATTAAATTGCGCTGAACTTAATCCTTTATGAACTGAAGCCGGCGTTTTGTGGGTATGTGTAGAGTCATCCCATTTTTTTTTTAATTATCACGATCTATTGGACATAACATAAGCCTTGATCATATTAACTGAAAGTGCATAGGGTGTTCCGAAATTGAAGGACAATCCTACAACTGTAGATAGGTCTCGTCTTGCCCTATTAGATGGTGAAATTTTGTTTTAGTAAAAGTGTTGTAGTTTCCCAGATTCTTAGCATTATTCTTTTTTAAACATCGGCTTATACTCAGTTAGTCCGGTGCTATTTCTACAAATATCAACTTTTTTGTACCAGTTCGTCAACTATTTTTGAATGGTATTATTGTTATTCCCCCTCTTCTATTTTTTCTTTGCTTTATTGCAGTTATAATGGAGGAGGTCAGTTTTCGTCGATACAGAAAATAACATACAATTTATGACTTGGAATAAAAAATGGACAGGGCTGATGCTGAAGAATAATTTACATTTAAGATTTTATTCTAATAAGCATCAGTTGTTGATATGCATGACCTACATTTTTACTCAAAACATTTTTTTAACATACCAAAATAACCACTGGCACGCTCGAGGCTGGTTCAGTTTTGTAAGCCAATTCTGTTACTGTAATCAGCTCAGCTTGATATAGAAATTGTCTAAAGCAGGTCCGATAAAAGATATAGTAGATTTAAATCCAATGATCTTAGAGTGTGATGTGCCGCAGTATTATTTACTATGATTATGTTTCAGCAGATGCGTGTGTTTGCTTATTTACAGACGTGAGGATATTTTTTCTTAGAAGCACAGACTTCAGAATAATTTCTACATGGGTTTATTCGACTTTAAGTACAAAATGACGCTGTTAGAGATAATTATGATAATACACCACCACATCATTTTACCCAGAACCTCCTCTTCAACATCCATACGAGGTCTGCCATTGTTACCTCTTCTACTGCCAATGCATATTCTCGGTAACTTGCCTTCTGAGTATGCTCGATGAACGTTAATGACACCACGGTAACCGGGAGGATGTCGACTGGGATATCTTCAAGAATAGAAGTGTTATACACAGTACTGGAAATAAAACAACTTTACCTCGCATGCAGCTTTGCACTGGCATTCGCCCGTAATGGGCATAATGAAACAACCTGACTTAAAAATCACAAGAGTTATCAAATCTGCTTCTTCTGGCTTTCATTTGAATATGTCAGTCTGTCAGCCAAAATATTCTGATTATGAACTGAGGCAAAATAAAATAAATAATGAAAATAGTAATACTCAGTAATACACCAAGATAATTGGTCCTAAATCCACAAAATTTTCTTATTAGGGTTGCTTTAGGGATTTGGTGTGCTGACCATAGTAACAGAATTGTGTTCCAAGATTGAAGCATTCGAGAGGTGAGCTTTTTTAGGTTAACCCTTTGACGCCTACTGGTTTCACGACGAAACCACCTGAATAAGAATTAATTTCTAATCGCCGAATGGTCTTGGTGCGTAACCTCATACAGTCACGTGCCCTTGAGACTCCATCTGATAGGCTTTGACAGTTGCGTCGGTTGTATTTGGTTTCCTAGCGTAATGATAAGGTTCAGTGTGCGTTGTTGCAGCAAACAGGTGGTTGATCAAAATAAATAGGGGATTTTTCGCTGTTAGATAAACAATGGGAGGTAAGTAAATAGATGATTTATATGATATGATGTTGATCATGATTGTAAAATATTTGGGGATTGAATTTGACCAAATTTAGCTCATATTTTTATACAAAAATACCTTCGGTTACGTTATGAAACCAGTAGGCATGCCGTGTTTTTTTTTCAGATCAGAATAAGAAATATTATTTTGCCGACTTAGAAAAGATGACTTCAGATGAACTTTTTAAGATACTGGAAGAAATTCCTTCAGATAACGAATCAGAGTTAGGCGATGAAAGTGATGATGAGGGAGATAAAAATATTTTACCTCTAAGTAACGATGATATATTCGACATAGTGAATTTACCAGTAGATTTTGAAGAAAATCCGGAAGTAGCTAGCAAAAGTGATGAATGGGGTAGTGATGATAATATTCCTTTATCAATAGTTAGACGTGATGAGCTGGCAAAAACAACGGTCTGGACAAAATCAACTGAAAACTGTATCAGAAATATGAAAATATTTAGCGAAGATGTAGGACCAAATATCAGTTCTGATTTAGACTCTCCAGTAGAAGTATTCCTTGCCGTCTTTCCAGAAGATCTAATAAGCCACATAGTTTTCCAAACCAATTTATATACACTTCAAAAAAAGGGAACAGTAACTTTACAGCAACTAATGAAAAAGAAATAAAAAAATTTTTAGCTATCAATATGCTAATGGGAATAAAGAAGTTACCCAGTGTTCGTGATCCTTTCTCATCAAATCCTGTACTTAGAGATGATTTTATATGCTCAGTTTTTTCAAGAGATCGATTCCTTTGGCTACTTGGTTTTCTGCATCTAAATGATAATGCTGTTATGCCAAGGCGTGGTGCTGCGGATTATGATAAGTTATACAAACTAAGGCCAGTCATCAACAAGCTAAGTAAAACATATATGTCAACTTATAAACCCTCGAAAAATCAGGCAGTGGATGAATCCATGATCCGATTCAAAGGTCGTAGTAGTTTGAAACAATATATGCCGCTCAAGCCCGTAAAGCGCGGGTATAAAGTTTGGGTACGGACAGACGAATCTGGATTTGCCTGTCAATTTCAAATTTATACCGGAAAAGCAGGAGATTCTGTCGAAAAGGATTTAGGAGCTCGCTTAGTTATAGATTTGACAAGATCATTAGTTGGTAAAGGGCACCATGTGTTCTTTGATAATTATTTCAATTCCGTAGGGCTCCAGAAAAAACTACAAAATGACATGATTTATGCCTGCGGAACTATACGACGCCTTAGAAAAGATTTACCTATCGATATACGCGACGATAAAGATTTGAAACGTGGAGAAGCAGACTGGCGTGTCAGTAAAGATGGCTTAGCATATTTGAAATGGATGGATCGCAAGAGTGTTCACTTTCTTGCTAACTATATGAATCCAGATGAAAATGCTACCACTGGAAGGAAACAAAAAGATGGATCTGTGCAGGATATTGCTTGTCCTCGTTTAGTTTTGGAGTATATAAGCACATGGGTTATGTAGATAAACTAGACATGTTGAAGTCAATTTATGAATTAGATCGAAAATCTAAAAAGTGGTGGCTGCGCATTTTTTGGTATTTACTTGACATATCCCTAGTGAATGCATACATAATTTTCAAGAACCGAAATACTACGACTAAGTCCGGCAAATGTATGACATTGAAGGATTTCAAGCTAGCAGTATGTTTGGGACTTATTGGAGCAGACGAAAATATTCCAAAGAAAGGGCGGATATCATCAGTGCAACAAAATACCTTCAAAGCCAATGTGCCTCAGGAAATTCGATATGATTCTTGTGCACACATGCCAATCCATGGAAGTTCAAGAAGATGTGCTTATTGCAGCTCTACATCATCACCACACCGGACGAAATGGATTTGTTCCAGGTAAAGAAAGTAATGATTCATCTTCTTTTTAGTTTTAGCAAAAACTTTTTTTTTCAGATGCAACGTTGGATTATGCCTCAACGCAAATAAAAATTGTTTCCTTCCGTATCACAGACGATAAATGGAAAATATCGGATTTGTCTTCTTTTATTACTTGAAATAAAATTTTGTTTAAAAAAATCAGTTCCTTTTACTACCTAGTGGTTTCATAATGAAACCATATTCTAAAGCATTTCAGGATTAAAAAAAATAAATAAAATGTGTAAAGTTATAACATATTGTTCACATTTACCCATATTAAAAGAAAAAGATTCGCAAATTCGAAAAAAAATTAAATCCGGCGTCAAAGGGTTAAAAAACTGTTTTATGACAGAATGTATCATGCATCACAGGTGCTCATTCCATTAATATCTTGAATGTAAATTATCATTTAACATCAATCCTGTCCATTTTTATTTGTATCTAAGCCTTAAATTGTTATTTTCTGATATCTACGAAAACTGACCGTCCTCCAAATAAACTGCAATAAAACCAAAAATAGGGCGAATAACAATAGTCCCATTTAAAAATTTCCAATAGTTGGTCAAATTTTTTGACTAATTGACACAGTGATCGTACTTGATCCTCTCACTCTAGAGAGTGTTAAAGTCAAACGTGAGAAGGGACTTTAATAAAAATTAAGACTTTGGCATGACTTTTAAGTGGGTTTTCTGCCACCCTAAGGAAAAATAAACTAGACGCAATGAAATGCTCTATTTTGAGTATCTTAAAACAAACCTGGTTCAAAAAAGTCGGTATTTGTAAAAATGGCTCGGACCCACTGAATATAAGTCAGTTTTCAAACAAAAAAAATGAATGCTGTAAGTCTCGAAGACTATAAGACGTAGGTATAACAAAAATTTACCATCTAGTAGGCCCTGACGTGACCTATCTACAGCTGCAGGATTATGCTTTAATTTCGGAACACTTAGTAAATCCGGGGGTATTTTATGTCGCTGATACTCCTTTTTTCAAAAGCTGATCATTCAATCGACGTCAAGCAAGTATACAGTTTTTTCTACCCAAAAAGTCGGGCTTACCAAAAACATTAAAATTGTGATATAACTATACACGACAGGATATTTAAAAACATCCTCAAGTCTTTTTTTTGTCATTATCTCAATTTTTTGACGTTGGTACATTTATGAAAATTCCAGATCTGTAGAGATGGCGGCAACTGAATTTGTCAGCCATACCTATAAAAAGCTAGACCACGGCAAATATGTTTTTGGTATATTTTTTGACCTATCAAAAATATTATGCAGCAGCATGGGAATTAGGGGCTTTCTATTGAATTGACTCTTGTCTCTTTTGTCTGAGATACACTTACAAGTTAAGGTGAACAGTACAATTTCGGAACAGTACAATATAAATACTGGAGCTACTCAGGGATCGGTGTCGACATCTTTGTTATTCATTTTATTTGTCAATGACTTGAGTCTACCTGAGCTGCTTTCCAGTGCCTCGTTTGTGTTACTCGGAGTAACTCGGAGCTACCCACCACCTGTCAATATCGTTCCAGTGCTCTAGAGTGTCATGCACCTGAGCTACTCATTCTTGAAATCCCCTGCCCCGTCACGCACCAGCTTTTTATTCGGTGTTATTCGCTCCGAAATTGTTCGGATAACGAAAATAACAATGTGTCAAGATCGTTTTTGTGTTTCTTGCATTAAACACACATGAGACCGATACCAGAAAATGTAGGATGGTAGAAATTGATAATTCTATGACCAGAGTCACAACGTACATTTGAGATGCTCCTGAATAACAAATATCACAAGAGAGTGCAAGAATGCAGATTCATAGAGGCTTGTAGTTGGCTTAACTAGACACTTTGAAAAATATTTTGTTTTTGAATGTCTACACTAAATTATGATCTTGAAGCTTTACAATAAAAATACAGACCTCTGACGTGTTGCGCCATCATTCTAAAAGCATCATCAGGTATCAATAGGCTAGTCTGACAATTATCAAATTCAAGCGAAAAGCCAAATGGAAATGGTGTTTACCATTTTGGATTGGAATTTACCGATCCGTTCAAGCGAGTGTGGTTATCAGTTTCGTTATAAGATTCGTGACGTCATGAATCAGAGGTTATATGTCATACTTATCACCGCAAAATTGTGGTATTTACCCAACTCAGGATTAGTTTTATGTATCTGGTTATTATTTTAAATGTGACAAGTTAGAATTTTGCCGGGTATTAGATATTTTTGTTGTACTTCAGCTTCATTTTTTTAAAACTTGATACAGGCTGACTTCAGTTGTAGCATACAGTAGAGCACCTTATTAGTTATACTCGTTACTATTGTTGGGGACACTTTAAATCTAGTTCCTATGCTTAACAAAGTATCCATGTGCAGCCATATACCACAAGGATATCAAAATATGGCCTTATAAATTCACTGGACAATGTCCTCCTGTATACGGTTTTGCTAGTATCTTTTTTCATCGCTTTTTCCTATCATTTTTGCTAAATCAGTAAATGTTCTCTCTGTCATGCGGAAAAGTTTAGAGAATTGAAAGTTATCATAGCTACAAAGCCATGGTTCCATCATTAAAAATTATTTTCTGAAAAAAAAAACATTTCTCCCATTAATATTATGAAAGGTTTCTTTTTTAAACTTTCCATACATTGCTGTATAAAATAATCAGAAATTATATACGCGCTTTCCTAAAATAAGCAACTTGCAACAAAACCGCTCTATAACTGTCCCCTATTGTGACCTAGAGCAGGGCTGTGCAACATACGGCCCGCGGGCCGCATGCGAGCTCCTTTCTTGCGGCCCGCCTCACGGGTCATGTATACATCACATGTATAAATTACTCTCAAATATAGTATAGTATATACCAATGAAAACTCAGTAATAATGTTGTAGAGAAAGATTTTATAAAGCGGCCCTCCAAACTGCATTTTTTTTTGAAGTGGCCCTTGGGCCACATTAAGTTGGACAGCCCTGACCTAGAGCACATCTGGCCATTTTTTTCTTTCTTAGGGAATACGTCGCTGTATACCTGACTGTGGGGTATTGACGTCATTTGACCAGTCTTCAGACCAGTATTCTTCTATTCTCAGTTGTATACAGACGCGTCGGATAATTTCATTTTGTCATGGTTTTT